GGGTGAGAGGAAAAATCTCTTGGGCCCCCCTCTAAAAAAGAGACATGTCTCCCAAAAAAGTCAAGGAAGCTATCAGTAAGTAACAGACAGAGAACCTCACTATAATTACAGTCTGACATTTAATGCTTCTGAAGTCACCAGGTGTACAAGGGTCAGACTTTAAATAAAATACATATTAAACTGAATTACTGAGATTGGTTTCTCTCTCTTTCCCATAAATATCTTATTTAACATCCTGGAGCTGAAAGCACAGTTTTAAATTGTCCAAGAAAAATGGGAATGCTGTTCTAATGTAACTCTCATGTAGAGTTTATTCCATCTTTACTGAGTTCATTATTTTTTAAAAATTGTTGGATGCTTCGAAGGAAGAACATTGCACCCATTTCAACTTCAGTTTCAACTTGGGTTAAACAAGCAGAAAACAGAGGAAGAGATGCCAGAGGATTAGCCAATTAAATTTTTTTTTCACAATATACATTTCTGTTATTCTTTCTCTTCCCAAAATGTAGGAGGGACATAAATTTTCCTTAGAAGTCATTCCCTTAAATTATAGGAGGTGGGAAACTGTGTCCCTCCAGATGTTTCTGGTCTACAAGACCCATAGCCCTAAGCAGTATAGCAAAGGGTAAGAAATAATGGGAGTTGCATTGCAGAAAGAGCTATCATAAACATTAGCCATAACCATAACCATAGCCATAGCCATATGCTGTCAAGTCAGTTCTGAATTATGGCAACTCTCTTCAGGATTTTCCAAGTAGAGAATACACAAGCGATTTACAATTCCCTTCTTCTGGGGATGCCCCGGGGCTGTGCAGCTTGTCTAAAGTCACACAGGCTTGCTGTACTCCCAGGAAGCACAGTGAGGAATTGAACTCCCAACCTCTGGCCCCAAAGCCAGATACCTAAACCACTGAGCTAGCCAACCAGCTACAAAAAGAGATAGAGGTCCACTTTACAGGCTGAAAATCTGCAAGACCAAGGAAGCTGTTTTTTTAAATGAGATAACTCAATTTAAAACATACAAAAGATATGTTACGCAAGGGCAGCTGTATGAAGATTTGCTACTCAGCTCTACCAGATGCTGATAGTCCTGTGATTATGCAGAGTGAAGCTACTGCCTCAGTTGGCCAGTTTTGAGAGACAGTATTGGCAGCCTTCCAGCTGTTTCTCCTAAAAACCCTGGCTCTTTTCTCCACACCACCAAAACTAGTTAGCTGTATATAGTGGAGGAGTCCATCCCATTTGCAGAGTTGAAAGGTTCATTGTTTGTCCAGTTGATTTCTGTACAAGGGGATTGGCATCCTTTACCTCAGGTGGCAAAATGTATTGGCCCAATCCTTTTACAAATACCTTTAACAGTAGAGAGAGAAATTGTAGTGCTGAAACAATGTTTGACAGAAGGATTAAGGAGAACCTTGTGATAGACCGACACCAGGCTTTATTATAAATTTACAGGAGCTATCCCAGGTGCTGAAATCTATCTCTAAAATATCTTCAACACCATGGGGAGCTCCTAAAAAGTTCATACTAAAACCCAGAAAGACCAGTCAAAGGACCCAGTGAAAGGAACCATAATAAAATTAAATGACTTCCCCAAAAGTTAGACTCTCCACAGCACAGAAAGAGCAACGTTGGTGACCCTATGCTTGAGATCTGAAGCATGCTGTTATTTGTTTTTAGTTCTTTATTTAAAGAACAGAGAAAAAGGGATTGTCTGCTGTTGTTGGATCAATAGTGCTTTAAGAGTGAGATGACCTGTAAAATATTACATCAACCTAGTAGCCGGCCCATGTGTGAATGGTTTTATAATCTGAATTTGTTTTCACTTGTTTTTGCTGTGTTTCATGATGATTGCAAGTCACCTTTAGCACCAACTAGTAGTGAAGGAAACATATAAACAACCACAGGTTGGAGACCTAGAAGAGGGGCCTTAACTCTTTGCACTAGTGTAGTTCTCTTAAGGAACACTCCAACAGGATCATTGTGGGCTTCCCATTCATGCAAACAGCATGTGTGTGGGAGGCAGTCTGGACCCCAGTAGAAACAAACTGGTTTAAATCACTCTAATCCTACTCCCTGGGTCCCACTCCAGATCAGAAGTGCCCGCCTGTTAATTGTGTAAACCCAGTCACATCTGGCCTTCCAGGTAGAACTGAAAGAGACCTGTTCTTCAACTGGAAGATAGGAATGGAAGCTATGGTGAGTGGAAATAGTGGAAGAATTTATAGTGGCCAAACATACGGCATTGGCATAATGCCTGCAAATTGCTTAAGCCGAGTGGGGAGAGGGAAAAGGTTTTGTGGTGAGAAACCTTTTAAACTGCCCAGAAAGAAAGCTCTTTACAAGAGAAAAAAAGGCATTTATTAATGCAATACATAATTTATCAACAGCGTTAACTGCCGCAGGATCTAGTGATGGCTTTAAAATGAGATTGGACGTTTACATGGATCAGTCAATGAATATTAACCGTGATGACAAAAAGGATGGTTAAATCAGACCATCTGCACTGTTAATCAAATAAGTGAGTGGCAGATTTTCAGGAGTGCTGGAGGAAGTTTTCTTACAGTACAGTACCTTGTTTTCAGAATCATACTCCCCGTCAAAGCAACTTTTCCAAGTTTTGGGAGGGCTGTCATCTTTGTATCCTCCTTGTGGTCTTTTCAGGATTGGTGATAAAGAAAAAACTCACTTTCTATGGGACATGATTCGTGGTGGACAACCTTTGGCTCTTCAGATGTTCAGATTAACAATGCCAGCATGTTCAATGCCAAGAGTCCTGCTCTGTTGACTGAATTCTGGGAGTCCAAAAATGTATCATTGCCAAGTTCTGCTTCCAGCTTCAAATCCCAGAATCCCTAGCCGGCAAAGTATTGGCTATATTTGCAGGGGAAAACTGAGAGTCACAGTCCAAACCAGAAAGTTTTAGCTCAGGGGTCTGGAACACATGGTTATGGAGTCTACATTCAATCCCTCCCATCTCAGAGCATGGTCTGCTAATGCCACCAGATGGTGGGCCTGAGAAACCAGTTCTGAAAATCATGAGAAGTGCTGCTATAGGTCAGAATCCTCGTGATGGTGCATAATTAATTAAATTAATTGGTCTGACACACTTCAATGGCCATGTCTTCCACCCCTACTGTGCCTACTTCAATACAGATTGCTTTTTAAATAGTCTTCTTCTTGTTGTTCTTCTAACAAACCGTGGACGTCATCCTGGCTCCTTTGATATTAGGTGCAGCATCTCAAGGTAGGCTTCAGCAGTATGTGGACCGAGAACTCCCAGAAGTGCAAGCTGGATTCCGAAGAGGCAGAGGTACTAGAGACCAAATTGCTAACATGCGCTGGATTATGGAGAAAGCCAGAGAGTTCCAGAAAAATATCTACTTCTGCTTCATTGACTATGCAAAAGCCTTTGACTGTGTGGACCACAGCAAACTATGGCAAGTTCTTAAAGAAATGGGAGTGCCTGACCACCTTATCTATCTCCTGAGAAACCTATATGTGGGACAGGAAGCAACAGTTAGAACTGGATATGGAACAACTGCTTGGTTCAAAATCGGGAAAGGAGTACGAAAAGGCTGTATATTGTCCTCCAGCTTATTTAACTTATATGCAGAATACATCATGCAGAAGGCTGGACTGGAGGAATCCCAAACCGGAATTAAGATTGCCGGAAGAAATATCAACAACCTTCAATATGCAGATGATACCACTCTGATGGCAGAAAGTGAGGAGGAATTAAGGAACCTTGTAATGAGGGTGAAAGAGGAGAGTGCAAAAAACGGCCTGAAACTCAACATAAAAAACCTAAGATCATGACCACTGGTCCCATCACCTCCTGGGAAATAGAAGGGGAAGATATGGAGGCAGTGTCAGATTTTATCTTCCTGGGCTCCATGATCACTGCAGATGGAGACAGCAGCCATGAAATTAAGACGCCTGCTTCTTGGGAGGAAAGCGA